GTCTCTAGATCTTATTACAAGAGGAGAGAAAATCAATTGGTTAAATGTGTTCTGAACACCATGCTTGTCATATCACTCATTTGTTTGCAAAGATGGAAAGCTCAGTTCATCCAGAATGTCACCTAAAGAATTTCCATCAGTGCCGTTTGGTTACAGAAACTGATGGATTAACCTTTCCCCTCTGAAATTGGTGATCAATGAGTTTCAATGTAGGAATATTCCAATGGGAAAGCACTTCTCCCTCTTTCAGTTAAACAGCATTAAATGTCTATTAAAGCCCATTATGCATGTTAATACCTGTCATCACTTCATTACTTCACCGTATTTCCCAGACTACAGAGACTTTGGAAGAAATTACACTGCCATCCAAGGACCTATTTTGTGAGTAGTGCCAAAGCATTCTTTGTGTCACACTCAAGAATAAATGGTGTGGAACTACATCTTCACACACAGGAATATGAGATTCTCCCATAAGCATTTGCTGATGAATTACAATCAAAAGGAAAAAAAAATGTGCTCACTGATACTTTTTTTTCTTAAAACCACAACAAACAACTACATTTCAAAGGAGCCGTACAAATTCTAAACATTAGGTCTTAAAAGAGAGGGGTGCGAGCATAACACCTTCCAAGATTCGAAGGTTTTTCTAATGTCAAAAGGGTGAATTTCATGCAAATTTACAGTCTGGAGTCTTAATTGCTGTTGCTGTTAAGTGCATTAACTGAAAATACTGCAATACAAAATGAGCTAAAATAATTTCAACCATTCTAAGCAATAATTCTACAGTAATTCTGTGTTCATTAATCTGACTATACGTTTTGTCTGTTTGACGACTATCCATAAAGAGACAGCTTCAATGTGATTACATTACTATTATTCCTGGTGAGAACTCTGCATTACAATAGTTTGCCCATTTAGGACAGAATATCATTAAGAATACCCTGGGAGAATTTTACTGGTCTTTGAGGAACTCTCTTTTCATTCTGCATTGTATTCTTTTTAATAAAGGGAGGCAGAAACGTAGTGAAAACAGTCATTGTTCACAGGAAGAGTTAGGGAGAAATCTGTAATAATATTCAGTTATTGCAGCTCTACAGTCCCTGCTAGTGTTCCTGTAAGCAACCATGAATGATTACAGCACGACTTGGCTAAGGTAGCCACTATGGATGATTGATAGGACATTAATCAAAAGATGCATATCAGGCTCAGAATTTGTTCACAAGCTTTCTTCTAATAGCTGATTTCATGTTCACTGAGCTCTATGCCAGTTTGTTCAATTTATTCTTCAGTGTACAAGCCATTCATCAAAGAACACAATGATTTAACACCCCTTTTCCTTTTTAGTGAACAAACATTACTAAGTGTAACTACTCTGGTCTGTTCATTAAAAAACATACCATTACAATGCCATACATGAGGGTGAAACAATCCTCCTTGCTGTATCTGGCATTTTTTGCTTCCATATATACACCGTGAGTTCATCTCATATACTTCAAACACACTAGACAGCACCAACCTGAAGATGCTATCAAATTCAGCAAGATAACAAATGCAACATAGAAACAATTTGGATGAAGTACTTTATTTCTCTGCGAGTGGTTAACACCTCAAACATATTGACTCTTCAGGTGAATCAGTTTAAAAGAGTGAACTGATTTCACTGGGAGCTCCAAGCACATAGCACCCTTGGAAATACAGGTTGGTATTTATATTTCTAGGTGTTTAAGCATGCACAACAATACCTAGCTCTGAACGTCCAGGTTCAAAGATTTGGTAACGTTCTTCAGATCCTACATGTTAAAAAGACAAACTTACAATTCAGTCACAAGACATGACTGACTTAAGACCTCAGTTCAGAGATGCAGATCCTGCCCATCACTGCTCTGTGACTATGGTTACATGAGCACCTGCATCCAACAATAATTTTTTTTTTACCTATCCAAAGCAAGAGCACAGGAGATCCCTTCCAAACAGTTCAGGAGGGACAGGAAGGAACTGCTGTGAACCAAATGTATTTTAATTTCAGTAGGAGGTTGTTAAGGTGCCACAGACTAGGGACTCAGGAACTTTGGATGCTGAACAGGAACCTTTGGTCCCAAGTAGGAAACAGACTCTAGGAGCCCCAGGATGTGTATGTACAACTTAAACTTAATGCAGCTCTTTTATATTTAGTTGAGTTTAACAATATTCTCCACTCGGTCCCTCCAAGATGGGAAAAGACTGCTTTCAATAGGGTATTTCTGGTCAAGAATCCCTCTTTCACATTCTTTACTCCATACAGGGCAACAAAAAGCGTGATGGTGACTCTCCGATGGCAAAAAACCTTTCTAACTAAAGGACAAAAGCAGCTCTACTTTAACAAATACAGTGACGTGCCTTACACCAGTACAGTCCAAGTGCTTAAATGTCAAGTAGGTATATTTGCTATTCCACTCCCTATGTAAACATAAATGCCTTCCATCAGAAAGACAGATTTTACCATAGATGATGATCACAGAGATGTCCTCCTTATCTACATCTGCTCTAACACCATATAAGGCTCTAGAAGGGGGATGCTAAGCCAGGCATTGCCAACTTTGTCCAACTTGCAAGCAAGTAAACTTGTAGGGTACAGCAGAGGAGACAGACATCATTTTAGCTAGTGGCTCTCACTGGAAAACAATGACACCAGCAGCAGATGCATTAAGACACAGCTGGACAGATGTGCTAAGGACGGGAGGAATTCTTATCTCTTTACTATCTTCTTTTGCCCTGTGCTCAAGAGCAAGGGTCAAGTCGGAGGTACGAGGATTTTCCACAGAGTCTGGCAACCCACACTTCATTCCCTCTGCCTCCAACTTCAGACATCTCAGACTGAAATGAAAAGGAGATCATGAGGGAGTGGAGGAATAGCCAGCACAGCTAAAGGGAGTACTCAGAAATGGTGACAACAGCTCAGCCAGCAGCATGATTTCTTAAATAGCACAGATAGTTGCCTTCAGATAATTCTCTCCAGCTGTTTCTGGAGATCTCTTCATAAGGCAAGATGACCTGGCTGGGTTTAACGTCACTCGCATGCAAGATGCTGTCAGAGGGCAGCCTGGGTGATTCTTCTGATCTGAAAAGATCAGAAGGATCTGAAGAGAACAGAAGGTGGCAGGTCTTCCTCTGCCTTTCAAAAACCATTCAGGCTGCTCGACAATAAAGCTGATGTTGCGGGCCAAAAAGAAGAAAAAGAAATCAAAGCTTGCAATGTTACTGGCATGGAACGCTCTGTTGGGAAGGGGAGACCTGGATTCCTGCCCTCCTTCCCAAAGTTTTTAACGCACTTTGTTAAGTAACTCTTGAGTACAGGATGTGTTAAGAATCCCCATAGCCCACAATTCCCTCAGATCTCATGAGATCTTTCTGCCTTGAGTGGCAATCCTGTATCCTCTTGCTGGTCCCGCCAAGCTCACGTTGCTTTCTAGCCAGAAGGCCAGCAAAAGGGGGGGCAGCAGCACCACTCAAGCCATGTCTGCTTAGAAACGTGAACCCAGATGGCATCTGTGTCGCTCAATAATTGTCTAAAATTCATGCCGAGAGTAAACCAGATCTGAAAGTAAACATTTTGAGAGTCCAGAACAACCACATTTTTCAAAAGTGGTAACAGGTTTCAGAGGCCTCAGTTTGCCTGATATTTCTTTTAAGATACCTTAAACGGGCTGCATTTCAGACAAGGGGTGCTCAATACTTCCAAAACCCAGATGCCAGAAGAATGCAAGATGCCTGCCTCAGTCATTCATATTTTCCAAAACACCAGCCTCTTCCAAAAAATCTTGGACCCACAGAAGTTTAAGTGAATTATGGATCTTTTTCTTTCATCTACCTACTAAGAAATTAAAATCTACATCACTGGAGGGAATCTGATTTGTATTTCTGTTACAGACCTTTTTTTAGAATTAAAGTAGAAAAGGAAAAAAAAAAAGATGAACGCATTTAAGACCACTGATAAACTACAGGCAGGTTATCTTTTTAGTTGTTGAGTTTTAAGAGGGATAAGGGTAGAAAAAACATGTAATACTTCTGCTTGAGCATTCAATAACTCATATACACTGACAGAAAAGCCCACCGGTGATATAATTTATTTCTCCATACGGTGGGCTTCTGTGTCTGTCTGTCAGTCTCCCTCTCTCTCTCATGCTCTTCTCCTCCTCTGCAAAGTCTCCAGCTCCCTTCACCGGAGGTAAAGCAGGGCACTGAACTACATTGCAATTACATGAGCACATCAAATTTTGAGGAATAGACTTCAAGACAAACAGAAGAAAAACAGACATTATAATCAAAACCAAACCTTGTGGCTACTTTGTGGCTGTCCTACTAACAAGGTCATCCAGTTTCTGGTCACAGTTGCAGAATTTACTGCAAAACAGCTGTGAATTCAAGTCAGGAAAAATTCTGTCTTTCCTGCACATTGCCTAGGTGTGCCTAAGGAGACAGGCTGACACAAAAATGGCAAGGAGATCCCAATTTTGT